ATCAATTCACTTCACATTACACATATTATCATTGCATCCAAATCACATTGTTTTCCATAGCTTTCTAGAGCCAATTTGTGTGAAGTTTGAGTTGTTCTTGAGCGTATATATTTTACTCATATCCACTCTTAAGGAGAGTCTTGTTCTTGAGTGTCTTAGTGTTGTATACACGTTAAGGGAAGCTTGTTTCCCTTGGTTGTACGAAGGAAAGGTATTTTCCTTCGGGTTGAAGTTTTGGAGTGCGGTATCTCCGAGCAAGGTTGTTGAGGCTCGTGGGACTCGAGTTCTCAGGTTGTAACGGTTTGTTAAGCACCCGTAAGCTTAACGGAAGTAGTGTAGCTCGAGAGAGTCTCTCGGGAGACTGGATTAGCCACACGTTGTGGTGAACCAGTATAAATCTTGGTGTGCTTCCTTTACGCTTTCTACGATCTTTACATTTCACGTTCTTAATTTTTTATTCCTGCGATTTCTACGAACAAACGCTATTCACCCCCCCTCTAGCGTTGGTCACTTATTCTAACAAGATTGTGGTATTAGTCATGGCACAATACCCCTTTACTGCGACAATACAAGTGCAATCAGTATTTCAAAAAATCCTGTCTTACATTCACGTACCAAGCACATCGATATAAAACATCACTTCATACGTGAACTGGTAGAAAATAAGACAGTGGTTTTGGAACATATTCCAAAGGAGGAACAACTTGCAGACATCTTTACTAAGGCACTGGACGGGAATAGATTTGAGAAGCTGAGATCAGATCTGGGCCTATGTGCTCCTTTCTAATCTTATTGGTACACGTGGACACTTAAAGACCAGCTCAGAGTGTACACGCCATGTCATATGCTGGATTATTATTTTTTTTGCCAAGATAATAATAAAAATAATAATGTAGCGTGAGGCACATCTTTTCATCACCTGCAACATTATGAAAGCGCGCTTCTCCAAGAACCACTTGACGCCGTATCACCCTCAAGAACCGAAAGGGCACAGCATATTGAGTTACATCCAGGAGAAAATCAAATTTCCTTGGCTAGAGTCATAGTTGCTTCCTATTCATCTTCTCCGTTCTCACCCAGAAACCCTAGCTCACTGCAAGATTTCACAAAGCAACTATGGTGAGAAGCAAGACTGTCATACCACGGAAATTCAATCATCCTAGGGCATCCAAACCACAGCCCTCCTGGTTCAAATAATATTGCCAAGTTCGCCAGAAACTTCAAGAAACAAAGGAGGAAGAGGAACCAATGGTGAATCAGGGGACTTCAGTACATGACACCCACATGCAACAGCAAGAAGACGATGTAGCACATCTCCCAACTCCAGATCTGCCCCAGGTGCTGCTCATAGAATTTCACAAATCTGAGGAAGAAGTAGAGACAGTTGCGGTGCCAAAGTCAGATTCAGCACCACCCTTCAACACGACAACCCAGTCACCACCAGATGCTCAAGTTCAAGCAGATGAAGAGTTTATCCAGATCCTAGATGAAGAACCACTTGTTGCAGTCTCAGAAGTCCCATTTCAGGAAGAATCTGCAGAGAAGAAGAGCAAAAAGAAAGTGACTCCCAGTACAATTCCTCAGCGAAGATCTAAAAGAAAGTTGAAGCTGGAGGAAGATCCAATTTCAGAAGCACCACCCCAGAAGAAGCAGTCAAATTCATCTACCCCTATGAGCTCTGCAGCAGATGTCACACCAGTTGTAAAAACAGGAAAGTCTCCTCACTCTCGCTTTGTTTCCTCAAAAGCTAAATCTCTTTTCAGTAGTGTGCACAAGAAATCTATTATTGTTCAAAGAAGAATTGATGTGGAGGATTTTAAACTCAAGACCAATCTGATTCCTCTCCTTGAAAAATCCAAACTGATGAAATCTGTCACTCTTCAAGGGTCATTTGTGAAATCTGTTATCTGTGAGTTCTACTGCAACCTGTCTGAATCTTGTGCTGATTCTGCTGACCCCATGTTTCATAAGGTGTTCTTGCGTGGAAGGACCTATAAACTCTCCCCTGCTCTTATCAATACTGCTCTTGATCTTACCCCTAGCAAAAAGGATACCAAAATCTTTGAAACGAACATGTGGTTAGACCTCACAAATGGTCAAAGAGCCTCCCAGTCAAGCAAAGCAAAAATTTCCTCCTCAATCCTCAAAAGTTCCTATGCTATTTTATTAAGGGTTGCAGCACTTCACTGGCTTCCTACTACACACACCAAAACTGTTTCCAAGATTATGGCCAGACTTCTCTACAAGATTAAGCACAACATTCCTTTTGACCTAGGACAACTAATCTTTGATCAGATAATGCTCTTTGCAGCTGAGAAATACAAGGTCAACTCCATTGGGCTGCCCTATCCAACACTTCTCTACAGTCTCCTAGTCTCACAGGGGTTCAGCAAAGAAGAAGATGAGGAGGAAGAACTAGAAGAGCCACCACTCCAAGTGGACAGCAGACACATGGAGGGAAAACACTACAATGACATGGAGGTTGCTGCTTCAACAACTGCAAAACACAAGGAGACACCCTCTTTGGTGAGATTCTTGGAGCAGAAACTGATGCAGGTTAAGGAGGAGCTAGCCAGAACCTCACAGCTGAAAGAGAAACTGGAGCTTGAGAAGGGTCAGTTGGTGGTGTTGCTGCGCCAGGCTAGGGAGGCGTATCCAGATGAGGAGCACACGGACTCAGCAGAGGAGATCGTTGAGAGCACTCATTCTGATGAACAGGAGAGTCACACTGAGGGGGAGAGTGAGGAAGGGAACTCAGCTTGATCGGATTATGTACTCACAAAACTCTGTTTTTTTTATGGCACTTGTTGTTTTTGAGGTTGTGTTTGCCTCTGTACTATCAGGAGTATGTGTTTTGCTCACTTGTGACTTGCTTGTGGATTTCACTGGTTTGTTTGGGTTTGATGCTGTTGGATTTGCTTTATGGTTCTTGTGACATGTTCTATTGCTCAGTATGATCTATGCTTGCTCTTATGCACTTCATTCTCAAGTTTATATTATGCACAAGGGTCTTGTGACGGATGTAGGTACAGCTCTGTGTTACACTCCTTAGGTATTCTATGTCATAGTGTACCTACTCTTGATCGGTTGAATGTTACTCTTCAAATCTTTGCCCCAATTTTTCAATAAAACTTGGCATTTTTTGTGCAAAAAAGGGGGAGAAGAGGTTCAACACGGCTGAGTAGTGGTTTTTGTCAAAAATTGCCAAAGGGGGAGATTGTTGGTTCCTTGGGTGTGTCTTAGCCTCTTTGTCATAGGTGTTGGCTTTATTTTTGACAAAAACCAGTATAGTTGTTTTAGTACTCAGTTTGTTCTAGCTATGTGTTTTATAGAGCTGTAGCATCCTGTCCGTCACACACACAGTCCTTGAACTTCTGGACTTCTTCAATTAAAGACAGACTGCGGCTCACCTAGCTGAAGAAGAACTCTATCAACAAAAGGCTACTGGAGCTCACGAAACTGAAGAAGATAAGTACGGTATCAGAAGGAAATCATAACAAGGACTCTACCCGATAAGCACAAAACTGGAGGTAGAGATATATCAGGATTCTTCTAGGGTTGATCTCACCTTGCGAATATAAATAGAAGGGAGAACTGCCTGGTTTTGGTGTGAATTAAGAGAGCAAGAGAGAGGATATATTAAGAGAGAATCCTGAATAATTCATCAGCCAAGCAGATCGAAGAACACAGATGGCTGGTATGCAGAATAATATTCTGCATAGAGATTAACGTGCGTTCCAGACAGTTGAACTGAGAAGAGCTGGAGCGTAGGCCAGGAACACGTCTCAGATAAGTTGTTCAAGTGTNAGATCGAGTCTGTTGTCATTGAGGGTGTAAACTCTGATTTGATTTAGTGGGAAGGCTGTTACACTGACGTGGGCCTCGCAGACGTAGGAGAAATTGCTCCGAACTGCGTAAACAATTTCGTGTGTTGTGTGCTGTTTGCTTTTCGTTTTCAGTTTGTTTATTCAGCAGTTGGTGAAGCACTTTGTTTTACAGACTAATATTAGAAAGTGCTTCAGCAACCTCTGTGGCAACTTGTTCTGTCCTAGGTTACTACAGGTCATACGCTGAGGAAAGTGGAACTTTCATAACCTTCTGGTAATTTTTAGCATGACTATGTCCATAGGCTATTGTCAGTGGCGGAGGTAGGATCGAATCCTCGCGGGGCACAATTACGGTCATCAGGAAGCAAAATTTCATTTTAAAAATACGGAGTAACAAAAAATTCTAATAATAGTACCAAATTTAATAAGAAAAGAGTAAATTTACATACAACTATATAAGTACATTTTATTTGTGTAATGAGGAAGAATTGTTTTGGGGCCATAGAAAATATTTTCGAAATGTCAAGAGCATTTTGCTAAGTATCTTTTTCTTATGGTATCTCTAATTTCAAATGCATAAGTATTAATTACTTTTCGTAATCCCAGATTAGCAATAATATCATCATCTAAAACCACACTTTCTTTCTCGAAAATTTTTTTTTCCTTGTCTTTATCATTTACCAAAGATAAATTTTTTAGTTGTCTAATTAAAAATTTGTCCATCTCAAGAATTTCTAATTTGCAACAGTATAAATAAATCATTGATGAAACAAATACTCCGTAACAATTTATTGTAATTTAACTCTAATACTCCCTCTATCCCTAAAAGATTACCACAGTTTACGTTTTTTGGTCAAACTGTGTCAGTCTTTGACCGTGAATTATGGAAAAGGTATATGTAATAAATTTTGTAAAATTTAATTTATTTTAAAATATAGTTATAAAATATCAAATTTTAATAATATTTAATTATTTTAAGTTATATTTTGTAACACCCCAACTCGCATAACCCGAATACAAGGATCAGCGGATCGGGTTGCTACCAAATTGGTATTCAAACACAATAATTTTCCAAATCCATTTAAAACATTTAATTCAAAACAATATTTAATTATCCATCAGAGTAAATCAAAACGGTTGCAGAAGCTAAATTCATAATCCAAAACACAACTTGGAAATCATGCCCGAAATAGTATTAAGTTATTTAAGTAATTAATAAGAGTTCAAAGTCGTCGAACACCGCCACGCACATCTCAGCCTCCTCATCGCCCTCCGGAATTGGCTCCAAGCTCATCATTTCCTGGATTACCTACGTGTAGCAAATAGGAAAAAGGGCTACACGCTCAGCATTGAAGCTAAGTGAGAAATATCTAACTTACAGGCGTTACAGCCATACCTATAGACGATCCCACTAGCCCGTATCCTCATACGATATCATGCACACAACATGCTCAACATATTCCCACATCATACAGAATATAACATGTAATTAATATCATCATTCAAATAGTATGATTTACAGAATACGTTAACAACTTTCCACTTCCTTTACTTTACGTTCTTTCTGTACTCGGCTCTTAACCTATACTAGGTAAAAGCTTAACTGCATATGACTTCCCTATGAAGTCATGACCTTCCCCTTCGGAACGAAGATCAAGCTCAAACCAACTCGGGAGTTCCTCGTTGGGTGGGTGAGATCCCTATCCCCTTCGGAACGACAGTTCTTAGATCCCCGTGTACAAGTTTTTACCCGGACAGCCATTGGACCCAGCAGGTACCACATGACTCTAACTTACTAACTTAAGACATAGCTTGCCATTATTTCCATTCAGGTCAGATCCTAGGGTTCATTCTAAGTATTTCATCCCTGATTCCCATTAGCTCATAGCACACTTATTCATGCATCATACACATATTTAATCACATCCAACACACACAATCAGCGGCCTAACACTGGGCAGTGACACCCGTGTTTACCTCATGCAACACACAAGGTCTCGGAATCAATCCTCGACGCAAACAACAAAATGCAGACTGGTTCAGGTACCTCACGGTACCCCTTGGCGGTAGGGGTTACCGGCCCCACGGCACCAGGGTGCCGTCCCCACGGTACGGGGTAGCGACCGTGTCAGCTGGGGTCCCTTCCAGTAGCTCGTCACGGTAGCCTCTACCGGTCAGACGGTAGAGTCCACCGTCCACATGGCACTTGGGTCCCGTCCTAAGTAGGTACCGCCAGAGAGAGGCGAAACTTGGGAGACTAGCGGTAGCCAGGTACCGTGTCAACGGTACCCACCTACCGTCTGTCGCGGCGAACCCAGACCTGCACCAGCTCCGTTTTCATACCTTAGGCAGCACCCATTCCAGTGAAAACAGGCATAACAGATATCTAACCATTCCTCAATCATTCCAACACAATTCATGCTTTTCAAATCATAAATGACATACACAAGGCATAATTTACGTATAGTCCACATAGATCAACCGTAACGATTCTACGAACGTAAGATTCAAACCTACGAATATAACCATACATTAGATGACCATGTACTCACCTCGAAATCGAAGATTAAAAGCTACGAGATGGTACTCACGAACAACGGCGTCAGATTCTTTCTCTTCCTTCTCCCTTCTCTTCTTCTCTTCTTCTTCTTTCCCCTACTGCGTTCGTCCTTTTGCTCTGTTCCGTTCGGCGAGAGTGAGACACGAGAGAGAGAAGTGAGAGAGTGGGGAGGAAGTTACGTAAATATGGTGAGGCGTAGGGGTTTGGGGCGTGTAGACACTACAAGAAATGAACAGATTTGCCACAGAAAAAATGTGTGGCAGAAACTGAAATTCTGTGGCAGACGGATAATCTGCTACGGACCCGCGACTAAAACAGGCTGTCGCAAAAAAGTTGTGGCAAATTCAAAATCAGCGACGGAAAACGTTTTCCGTGGCAGATCTGCCACAGATTTGCAACAGATGTTTTTTGCGTCCTATTTTTGATATTCTGCGACGGACGTTTTTTCCGTGGCAGATTTGCCACGGATTTGCCATGGATCCTACTTTCAGCTTATGCAATAGTTCTGCGACGGACTTTGGTTTCTGTGGCAGATCCGTTGCAAATTTTCTGAAGCTGCTCCCAGTTTCTACAATTTTCCCTCTTTTGTAGGCACTAATTAGAGAACAAAATGCATTCACAACAGGGGACAAAATGCATTCACAACAGGGGACAAAATGCAATTTTGTAACTAAATTCAAAGAGCATTAATAAAAACATAGAATGTCATATAAATATAACATAATCCATTGTAATCTTACGTTAAACTTGAAATTCTTAATGTAAAGATGTTCTACATATATATCTAAATAATAGCTTCAAGATGTCCTGACCCTCCTGTACCATCATCATCTCTTCGTGGAGGAAGGTTACCACCAAGAAGTTTTTTTTAACTCTTCATGGATGGTCAACGTCAAGTTCGATCTCAAATTATCAAATTCTTCTTGTAGTTTTTCATTTTTCGCCCTAAGTGCTACAATCTCCATTGCGCTGCTGCTAGTCTTGGCTGAACGTCGAGGTTTCGAAGACTGATTCATCTTCCTCATTTCATGCTCGTAGTCACCGACTCCAGGCACGCGATTCTTGGCATTATGGCCCTCGACAAGTGAGTACCATATCTGCTCGTCGGTGACTTTAAGCCCTTTTTTTCTAGCTTCCTCCCGCAATTCCAAAAATTGAGCCTGCAACATATGACAGTTAATAATAAACAATAAAAACACTCGTAACAATCTTAATTACATATCACACATGACAACAAGTGCATGTCCCCCTTTTTGTCCCACCTCTTAACTTCACATTTCTTTTCCTTAAAATAGATCATAATGATTGAAATGCAAGTATCCAGGTCATGGTGTACATATAGTTTTATGCACAAAGGTTTCTTATCTTTAAGACAACTTGATTTGACCTAATCCTTAAAAGTTCACAAAACCGAGACTTGTGCAGATGACAAACATAAAACACACGAGAGCAACTTCAGGTAAACTTCCTCTCGCCAATCACTGTGAAGTAATGTGCTACATACATATTCAACATGCGATGTAAACTCACACTAACCACAAGACACGAACCATAACGGGTTTGTTTATGGTTGAGCATTGTACTCCCCCCTCCATGTGAGATTAGGAAAAAGCCATACATACTTAATCTATTAACTCCACAACAACAAAACAACTAAAGAAATAGAAAAGAAAAATAAAGAAACAAATGTTTGAACAACAACAACATTACAAAAACAACACAAACAAGTAAAAAAATGACATGTACCTGCAATTCAGCAACAACTGGATCTACCCAAGACTGACCATCATGTTTCTTCGTTTTTGTGTGGATAATAACCTCATCCAACGACACACGTGCTCCTTTCTTCTTAGACTATAATATTCAAAGAACAAGTGTAATAAATTTTATATTTAGTATCAACCCAATTACCATTAAGTGTCTTATTTTTATAAAATATATCTTACCAATCGATTCATATTTTCAGAAAATGGAATAGAACCTCCACAATACGTCCCTAAAGCGGGACCATCCTCCCTTCCCTTTCGCCTATTCTTCTTCTTGGTCTTACTCACCTCTTGAAACTCTGGATCCTCATCCCAAACCTATAGTTGTACATTTAATAAACATTGCATGTATATAGTGACCCGTTATAAAATATATATACACACACACCTTTTTAAGCTTCTGAAATGGTCGTGGGTCCATTCTCTTTTTTTTCAACCGGTTGGGGTTCCTCACATTGTATGTGTAACCTGAGTACCGTTCAACAGCTTTCTTGAGAAATGCTTTCCTTAGCTTCCCCTCATCGATTGCCGGATCTGGTCGAGCATTTTTCTACATTCATCGACATCATTAAAAATCCAAGAAGTTATTACTTAAAAACACATCACTGTTTTTAAGTGTGAAACTAGTAACATAATTAATGTCAGAAAAAACCTTGAACTCTCGAAAGTAGAACTCCTTCACTGACTGTGGGACATCACGCTAAGACTTGCCTGCCGGGTCCGTCTTCTCATAGAATGCTGGAGTGATGAGTGCAGCACCAGCCCTAGTGATCGTAACCCTGTAAAAAAATAATTAGTTAAATGTAAATATTTTAATGCATAGCATGAATAATCTTAAAATGTACTATATCACATACTCGTCATCTGAATTGACATACAAAAACCGACCCCCATCACGAGGTCCCTCCCGTCGATCCTCAGCATTGAGCTCTTCATCTTCGCGACCCTCACTATTCAAGTCCTGTATGCGGCGGTCGTCATTCAACTCTTCTTCTTCACGATCGTCGCCATTTAGCTCCTCCTCTTTACGGCCATCTTCACCGTAGTTGAAATCATCACTCTCCCCGACCCTAGAACCAATAATTTTTTTTGTTATCATTAAAGCATTAACATTAAGCTAATTTAAAGTTATTTTCAATAAATGTCAACAAAAGTACCTGAAGTACAAGGCCCAGATCCAATAGTACGTGGGGTGGAGGGGGACCGCTGCGAGTCAATCGAGGGAGTGCCTATAGACGGATTTGTGTGGCTTGATACCTCACGAGAAGAGGACCTCCACCTACCAAGGACGCTCCTCCTCAAGCATGCCAGGACCTCTGTATCAGTTGGCGTGGGAAGAGGAGGGTTCTCATTGTTACTCATCTGTATAAAGTAAATAAATGGTTAGTTCATATAACAAAAGTAATACTAATGTTTAAGAAGCAATATATGATGAAAACATTGTTTGACAAACGATATATGATGAATAATTATATGGAGCATTTCAAATTGTGTTTACTCATCATTCAGAGCACTCGCTCTCCGTTGAGTGTTTTAGTTCTTCTTCTAAGTCATCAGAGCTTAAGATTAGTTCTTCCTCGTCATCGTTTTCAACCCTTTTGCGTGTCGCTTTTCCTCGGCAGGGACTGTAGTTCGGTCCTCCCTTGTTAATGTATCTATATTTTCACATATTATAAATGAATTGGAAACATACTAAACTGAGTATACTAAAATTCACTGTCTATGCTCAAGTGCAATGTATATTGTTTCCAACGAAGCTTTTTGAAATTGTCATCCTGTTAAAGTCAATTTTGATTACAATTGATAATTTCTTTTCATCTATATTTTGATTTTATTCTTTATATAGTAAAAAAGAAAATTCCCTTCTATCTTCAAATCAACCTTTACATACAATCATGTGAAAAATCCAGATTTTCATATTTGCAGGTAACTCTTGAGGTAGCAGCCCCATTGGATGCCTGTTTACATGGCTGAATTCTGAAATTTTGGTTTCAATAGTTTCAATTTGTAACTTGGGAAAGACTAATCAAGATTATTTTAAGGAATTTGTTCAAGTGCAAACCAAGTAGAAATCATTCAAATCCGAATAAGTAGCAACACAAAATCCAGAAATACCAAAGCAAATTAGCGACGGAATCTCGTGTGAATAAATACATACCTTCTTGTCGAAGGGCGTGTGGTGGATGACCGGCAAACGAGAACTGGGGACGGCAGTGGGGACGGTTGGCGTGTGCGACGAACGAAGCTAGATTTGAGGTGGGAAGGGGTTGAAGTTCGCCGGCGATTTGGGAGGCGGTGCAGCAGTTGACGGCGAAAAGAGAGAAATTCACCGGCGATTTGGGGCGATTGGGTTGACGTCTGCGGGAGAAGAGGATAAGATTTTTTGGTTGAGTGGAGATTGTGAATCGGGAGAAGAGGATAAGATTTTTTAAGTTCATGTCTGCGACGGCAACTATTCCGTAGAAGGTTCTGTTGCAGATCTGCGACGGAATTCTAATTCCGTAGCAGATATTTTGGCCGCGAAAGTTTTTTTTCCTACCGCGTCATATTTGCGAGGGTTCGGTTATGTCTGTCGCAAAGTTGCGACGGAAAGACTATGACCGTCGCAGATATTTGCTAGTTTATCCACATTTATACATCCGTCGCAGAGTCGTTGCAGATTTGCAACAAAAACGTCTCCGTGGCAGATTTCCGTTGCAGAACTGGCATTTTCTTGTAGTGAGAGAGTGTATTTATACTTTTGGGGTTTTGATTAACTAAACGTACCTGGCCAAAACGCACTTTCCAGGCCCACTAACTCCAAATCCAAATCCGATTTCACTGTTAGATTCGATCCGTCGAACCCTACACAACGGTATAATCTTTATTGTCAAACAAAAGATATAAGTATAATTTCCACCGAGTCTGTCTCAATAATTAATTAATTATTTCTAATTAATTAATTCTGATAGGCCGGGTTTCGGGGTGTTACATTTCTCTCCCCCTTAAAAGAATTTCGTCCTCGAAATTTACCTGAGTCATTGGTCACTGAAGAGTTGAGGATACTGAGCTCTCATGGATTCCTCGGTCTCCCAGGTTGCTTCTTCCACCGCGTGGTTTCGCCAAAGCACCTTGACCAAGGGAACTGTCTTGTTCCTCAGTTCCTTTACTTCACGTGCCAAGATCTATATGGGTTCTTCCTCATAGGTAAGACTCTCATCAAGGGTAACCGCTCCCTCGGACATGTGACGGGTCAGATCAATATCTTCTCAGCATAGACACGTGGAATACATCGTGAATCTTCTGTAGTTCCGGGGGTAACTCCAAACGATAAGCCACTGGCCCTACGCATTCAATGACCCGATACGGTCCAATGAACCTAGGACTCAACTTTCCTTTCCTGCCAAATCTCAACACTTTCTTCCACGGAGAAACCTTGAGAAACACCCAATCATCCACATTGTACTCAATCTCCCTACGCTCGAGATCGGCGTAGGATTTCTGACGATCCGAAGCGACTCAAAATCTATCTCGTATTATGCGGACCTTCTCTTCTGCCTCACGAACCAGGTCGGGTCCTTCCAACTTAGTTTCACTCAGCTTGGTCCAACAAACTGGAGTTCTACAACGCCGGCCATACAGTGCCTCGTACGGGGCCATCTGTATACTAGCCTGGTAACTGTTGTTGTAAGCAAACTCCATCAACGGCACGTACTGTTCCGAACCGTCACCGAAATCGATGAAACAAGCTCTCATCATGTCTTCCAAAATCTGAATCGTTCTCTCCGACTGGCCATCTGTCTGAGGGTGGAATGCTGTGCTGAAATTGAGCTTAGTGCCAAGAGCCTTCTGAAGACTCTTCCAGAACTGTGATGTGAATCGCGGGTCGCGATCTGAGATGATTGATACTGGCACTCCATGCAGTCTCACAATTTCTCAAACATAAAGCTCAGCTAACTTCTGCAAGGAAAAGTCTCGTCGGATAGGGAGGAAGTGAGCTGACTTAGTCAATCGGTCCACTATGACCCACACTGCATCGTTCTTCTTATTCGACAAAGGTAAACCTATCACGAAGTCCATCGTGATCCTCTCCCACTTCCACTCAGGAATGACTGGTGGGTGTAGCAACCCACTCGGCACTTGATGCTCTGCCTTGACTTGCTGACAAGTCAGGCACCTAGCTGTAAACTCTGAAATTTCTCGCTTCATCATCGGCCACCAGTAAATCTTCTTGAGGTCTTGGTACATCTTGTTTCTGCCAACTTTTTTGCCTGAACTCGCAACGGCAGGGGAGGGGGCGCATCTTTTAGAACAGAGACAGGCGCATCTTTTAGACTAGATTCCATTAAAGGCGGGACCGGAAGAACGCTAAGGGGCTGATCTTCCCTTAGATGCAAAGAGAGCTATGGAACATAAGCAACAATGGGCAAGGAAAAGAAGTGAAGTCCCCGCTCAATTTATAGGCGGAGTGTAATACCCCACCCTAGATGACCCGAGTCATCCAGACCAGAGTGCTAGTAAAACCGGGTTACTTTGTAAAATATTATTTATCCGAAATATATTCTCTTTTTGATAAATAAAGAGAATTAAAAAAACGTTTTTCGCGTAAGCTTAAAGTAAAAACATCCACAGTTAATACAACCTTGGGTTCAAGCCCAAAATCAATGTAAATTAAGTTTGACGTTTTATTCATTATTAAATATTAAATAAGAACTCCTTCGGTACGGCCTCCACGTCCAAGCTTTCCTCCTCAGCAGTTGTTTTCTTTGCTAGTACCTGCGTGCAGTTAAACACTACATGCTCAGCATAAGCTGAGTGGCAAATAACCAGTAGACATATATAACATGCAAATATATTTTAGAGCATTTTAAGTTATTTAATTCCAATGTTTTTCACATACATAAACACATGAAAAAAAATAATCTCACTTTAGTAATCACTTGGGGATATTTAGAAAATACTAGACTTTTTCCTTCTAGGTTAACCTTGTAATAGAGATTAAGACGTGACTAGGTTGGAACACCGCACTAGTCGATTCGTAGTTTTACTTCGGATACCTCCCCGTGACCTCGGGTCCAGCAATCAGAAGTGAACCCTAGACCCACGGGGTCATCGTTGGGTTCTCGTGCGCACGTTGTGGTATGATTATTTGTAGGCTTATCCACTTGGACACATACGATCCAGCCTTATAACATGTGGTTTGACCCACTTGATAAAACGTGACAATACCTGGTCAGGGTACGTCATTAAAAGAAACTTTAAAACTTTACTTTGTCCACTTGCTCTTTGGTTAACCATAGTATGATCATCCAAATAAATCCTTTTGACAATTTCAACAAAAATCACTTCAAGATAATATATTGATTTACGCCCCCTATATACTCCAAATATCCATTTGTTACATAGAACCACAAAGTGTCACTTGAATATCAAAGGTTCGTTCGTATATACTCGCACGTACATATTTGTAAATATGTAATTAAAAATGCAAGTACTTGACATCCAAATAGTTCATAGCATAACTATTTACTTGGCTCAACTTATTATACATATATACGTACTTAAAATATTTTTTTATCTATTCAATTAGGGGTTTCGGCCCTTGTACATAATACATTTTAAAATTTGGATTCTTTTTATTTCACTTATAATTTTGAAAGACAACCCAATTATCTACATATACATAAAAATAAACATTCAACATTTAATTATTTAATTCAGTGGCCAAATGGAATTAGGTACAATACCTAAGTACGAATAGAGTAAGTATATACACCATATGTATACGTACGCATCTAACCCCCCGAAAAAAACAATGGTCAACTTATTTTTTTTCCATGCATAAAACTTAATTTATTTACAAACCATCCAACAACTCATTAATCATGTACTTTGGGTTTCGGCCCCTATAAGATGGTTTTTACTCAAAATAAATATTTTTTTCTAACATCAAAGGTCAAATAAATATAATGGAACAAAATAAAACATCTAATATAAAAGTTCATGTTTCCCCTGGCCGAGTGTTATATACTACAATAATTTTAATGGTTTTATTATTTTTTCGTTATATTCTTTTTTTCATACTTATTAAAACAAACCTTTAAACTTAGATTATGTATAAATGCAATCATGTTTGAAACAAAATTATTTAGTAATTTTTATCTTCTAGAGATTTGTGAGTGGGGCGTTCGATCTTTTTTTTATTTAAATAAAGCTCGAATCGATCCTTTGGGTAAATAACAGGATAACAAAATGCAAAAAAAATAGATGAACATGAAATATATGGCTAAAGGTTAGGATCAACGGGCACACCTTCAGTGTCTGTTTAGTCAAAATGATAGCTTGACAACGTTGATGGGATGATTCGTGATACGTCCCCCACGTCTCTCTCCACCCCTCGGCAACGCCACAACCCACTCTTACTCACACACCCTCTCAACCTACTTAGCTATATATTTTTTTTCCTTCAAATGATCTTACTTCCTTCTCATTCTAGGAGACCATATTTATAGGGAGAAGGAGGGTAAATGAATGGTTTAAAAAAATATTATTATTTTTTTTATTAAAATAAATCATTACTCCTCTTAATTAATGAGGTGAAATGAATGGGGGAGGGTGGAGATTATTATGTGGCGTGAGAAAGGAGGAGAAAACAAATGTTTTCCTGCTCCGTTTATTTAGTATTATGTGTCCGATTTCTACAGTTTCATTTATTAAATATTTATAGAAAAATATAAAACTTATACCGTTAATTTTCATATTTTTCACACATCATTTTGACATAATCTGTTTGTTAAGAAAATAGGTTTATTTGAACAAATTATGTGAATAGTAGAGAACCAAACTAATTTTTTTATTCCCTTTCACTTTACTCTGTTTTTTCATCTCTACTAGTAATTAATCATTTAATATTAAATTCCAATTTAATTGTTTCTAAATAAATAATAGTAACATTTTTTTTAAATTTTAAATTTTATTATTATTATTATTATTATTATTTTCGCATATATTTTTTTTAATTATTTTTTTTATTGTTTTCATTTCTTTGTACTAGAAAGTTAAAATTTCTAGACCAGTTTTCAGGGCGTTACATTTCTCACCCCCTTAAGGAAAATTTCGTCCTCGAAATTTACCTGACACGTTGTCCGGAAAAAAAAAGTGAGGATAATGATTTCACATTGACTCTTTTGTCTCCCACGTATAAGAATTCCTCTACATCGTAATTCTGACAAACGACTTTACCTAGTGGCATTTCTTGATTGTCATATTTTAAGATTCAAATTTCTACAGGCTCTTTTTCATGTCGGAGGTTCTCATCCAGTTCTACCATTATACCATAGTATGTTTGTTTTCAAAGTGTTTAAAAAAAATGTAAAATTTATTTTGGTAAATTTTATTTTCTCACCTCGTGATTAAGTAATTGGTTTATAAAAAAAAACTAACATCCCCAAAAATTTAC